ATAAAAAATAAATATATAATAATTTGGTTCGGTTTAGTTTCTGAACCCTTGAAATCGAAATCGAACAAAAAGATTTCGGTTCGGTTCCCTTTTTTTTATTTTGATTTTTTCATTTTTTGTTCGGTGTAAGATCCCACGTCGCCCGAGGGAGTGATTTTTATATGTATATTCCTGTCCCTACCTAGTACGAGGCCTTTTGGGAGCTCACTGGCTTCGGGTTCCATGGGAACTCCAAAGTTAAGCGAGTAGCGCGCGAGAGCACCCCCATGATGGGTGATCCACTGGGAAGTTCTCGTGTGAGTTCCCAGAAACAAAATCGTGAAGGCGTGGTTGGGGCCCAAAGTGGACAATATCGTGCTACGGTGGTGGAGTGGGCCCTGGGTCAAGATGTGACAATTTGGTATCAGAGCCTAACCCTAGCCGTGGTGTGCCAACGAGGACGTCGGGCCCCTAAGGGGGGTGGATTGTAAGATCCCACATCACCCAGGGGAATGATCCTTATATGTATATTCCCATCCCTACCTAGCAAGAGGCCTTTTGGGAGCTCATTGGTTTCGGGTTCCATGGGAACTCCGAAATTAAGCGAGTAGCGCGCGAGAGCACTCCCATGATGGGTGACCCATTGGGAAGTTCTTGTGTGAATTCCCAGAAACAAAACCGTGAGGGCGTGGTTGAGGCTCAAAGCTGACAATATCGTGCTACGGTGGTGGAGCGGGCCCGAGATGTGGTGGGGCTCGGGTCAGGATGTGACAAAGCGTGGTCGGGGCCCAAAGCGGACAATATCGTGCTACAGTGGTGGAACGGGCCCGGGATGTGGTGGACCCCGGGTCGGGATGTGACATTCGGTGTTCGGTCCCTTTTTTTTCAGTGTTTAGAACCCACCACTAGATTCAGGTATTTATAGGAGCAAAGTAACTTTTAAGTCACTTGAGAAGAATAGGGTATTTATAGGAGCATGGCTAGCCACATGTGTAGGGTATTCTATGTCAAGTGCCGACTTCCAGTTGGCCAAGGTGTGTTATCAGATGATAAAGTTGAACTTGTGTCATGATAGTACTGAGGATAATCTTTGTATATATTCTTAAACTTAATTAATAATATCCTAGGGCTTATCTTGGATAGTTCTTGATAGGATTTATTGGACTTTCTTGTTTAAAGGAATAAGTCTTCGATGAGGAAAGTTTAAACGTAGAAACTAGTTATTAATTCTACTTTAAATTCTCTTGCCTTATATCCTTATCAAGAGCAAAGGAGTTTGGGAAATTTGTAATCAGCATCGCAGGTCTTCTTGATGGTTGAACCACGCGTGAATCAAATGTGGGCCACGCCAATTGGATAAGATTGTTCTCGTTATTTGCAGATAAAAGTCCATGTGTCAACTCCATGGTTTTTTGAATCATTTTCTTTTGCACAGTTAGTTTTTAGGGTTAACTATATTTTACATCACAAGGTTTGGGGCTATTTTGCAAATAAGCCGTGAGGTTTTAATTTTTGCATTTTACACCGCATGGTTTCAGAATTATACCAATTTAACCTCTCTTCCAATTTCATCGTATTATTAAACATTACGTATTGATGTGGCATAGACTTGGCCCGCATTTTAAGCACTTTTTGACCATCAATTTCAATATTTAGTACTTTACTCTTTTATTCTTTTAATCTTTTTGTGAAATTGACAGTCAACATGTAAAATTCTATGAAATGAGATATAAACATTACGCTTTCTAAGTAGTAAAATTCCGTAAGCTTTGTGAAACTAGTAGTATTTATCTTTACAATGTTAAAATAGGTCTGAGTTCAACTCCTTTTTTGTTAAAAGGGAATACAACAAAAAATTTAATGACCAAAGGTGGAAAGTTGTTGGCATTTTATTTCCATTAAGGGAAGTGATCCAAGTTCGACGCCCCCATCCGCGGTGACTGAAACCAAAATAAATCAAGCAATTTAATGACCAAAGTTGTTAGTAATATTTGTCTTTACAGTATTGGAAGAGGTCTAAGTTCGAATCCCCTTCCCCTGTTCATCGAATAAAAAACAATTTTAAGAACAAAAATTGGTATGGTCCTTGATTGCGTTGATTTTATTTCCAATTTTGTGGAGGAGTCTTATCTCTATCGTGCTATATATATATATATATATATATATATATATTCTCTTGAGTTGTACACAGAGTATATAGAGCTTAAGCCTAGAAAAACAAGTGTGTATAGGCAGCTTAATTCTTAAACCAGAAAACAACAATGTTTAGGAAGAAGGTGAAAGTAGCATGGGTAGAAAGTGATAGGACTATCATGTTCCAAAAGAGGAAAAGAAGGCGACTGAAGAAAGTGAGAGAGCTGACCACCGTGTGCTGTGTGAATGCCGTCGTCATTTTCCGTGGTCCACACGACAACAAGCCAACAATGTGGCATTCCGGTCAAGTAACAGAACAATCTCGAAAACTGATCGAGCATTTCGAGCCGGACCTAGATCTTCCAACACGTTCTTTCTCTCCTCATGAGGGTGAAGACGAGGAAAAGATGATGAGAAAAATAGGAGGCTTCAAAAACGATATGCATGGGATATGAATGTCACGTAATGGTAACGTTAGAGGAAGTCCAAGAAATGGTATATGGCTTCCTTATGACATTACCAAAACCTAGAAATTGCTTCTCTACTTGTTTAATGCAGAAAATAAGAAATAATTCATATAAAAAAAATCAGAAATAAATAGTATCTCAGTTTTCTAGTATTGTTTGTTTTTATGGTCGATTTTTTTTTTTTGTGTCTCATCGTTTTTAATTCATTGTATCAGTATTTTCTCATCTATTATGAATTATATATTTTATTGTCTCATCGTTTTTAGTATTTTCTTTCTTTTAATTCAGTGGTTGTTCTTTTGTTGGTTGAATGCAAAAAAGGAAAAAGAGCTATATATGTAATGATCTAAAGAAAGAAAAAAAATAAGAAGAATTGTTGTATATAATTAAGTAAAATACCTTTTGATGTTATATGCTTATCTTATCGCTAACTTACGTCCTTTATACCATTTGATCACTTTGTTCCTGAAGTAAAACATGTCCATCATCGGATCGGATGCACACATGACCAGGAAAAATTGTTCCACAACCTTAGGGGTATTAAATTAATCTTAAAAACGTAAACCATAATGTACGGCTAAGGGCTGGTTTGAAATTATTTAAATTTTTTTAAAGCAAGGCTGGTTTGAAATTATTTAATTTTTTTTAAAGCAACTTCTTAAAAAAGTTGGGGTTCTAATTGTGTTTGGTAAATGGAATAAAAACTGTATTTTTCTTTTTCAAAATTATGGATCCAAAACAGCTGAAAGCAAAAATAGCTTTACACAAGCTTCTCAAAAAAGTGCTTTTCTTTATTGAAGGCATCTGTTAATGAAACCTTTATATTGACAATCCTACCCCCATCTAGCAGTACAGTTTAGTAAACACTTACCTACTTTATTTCACAACTAATTTATTCTCATAGTATATCAGAAATAGTTTTGAAAAAAGTACAACCCCAAAGTAGCCATAAAAACCTTAGTCACCTGCATTCTTTGACACAAATTTGACAAAGTTACATATCTATGGTAACAGAGAAAATTCATAAATGAATTTTTAAAAATATGATTGCATAGCCTAAATTAGTGAATGGGAAAAGCCCAAGGACAAAATCTGTTTAACACTATAAGAATTTGATAGTACCAAAAAGGTTAATTTAATAATTAAATTTGATATTCATACATTTCGGGCCTGATAACCATTTCGTTTTTAATTTTTAATATTGATTTCTTGTATTTTTATAGAACTATATTTCATTCTAAAGGGTTAGAAATTGTATTAAAAAATGCGATAGAGTTGAGCTAAGGAACATAGTGAGTATATCATAATAATAAGATATTAAACTCATCATTCAAATGAAATAAATATGAAACGTCTCACTTTTAAATGTAGAAAATGTCACGAGACAATAACACTAATGGTGGTTTCCATATTAGAGATAAAAGTAAGTGTATATAGAGGGAAACTAATGATTAACAAATCCCTTATTTTTCTCTAAAAACACCCTTATCTTACAGAGAGAAAGACAACTATGTTTAGTCTTAGAACAACTCCTTTATTAAAAGAGTGTGATCCTTACGCATCTCCTCCTCTATAGTTCTCTCTAATTACAAAAGTGAAAATGAAAAAGTAAAAACAGAATGATAATAGCATAGAGTAGAGCCTTCCGATATTGAGTATAATTCTCTTAACTGGGGTCGACATGCGGATAGCAATATAGCTATCGCCCAACACAGACATTTTGCCATTGTCATCAAACTTTTTTTTATAACCATTTCGTCTTTAGTTTTTAGTGTTTGTTTTCACTTTTTTTTATTTTTTTAAAACTAAAAGCTGAAATCTTATTTGGTAACTATTTTAAGTTTTTGAAAAACCAAAAACCAAAAACTACTTTCTTGGAGGTCATTTGATAACCGCTTTGTTTTTAGTTTTTGTTTTCTCTTTTTTAAAAACTGAAAACTAAAATTTTGTTTGCTAACTATTTTCAATATTCAGAAAAATGAAAACTGAAACTACTTTCTTGAGTTTTCAAAATTTGACCTTGAGTTTTTACTTTTCGGTTTTTAGTTTTTTTTTTTTTTTTTGAAAACTGAAAGTAGTTATCAAACAAGATTTGAGTTTCAGAAAAGTGAATTGAAAATAAAAAACTGAAAACAAAATGGTTATCAAATGGTATCTTAGGTGTACAACATTATTTTTTATCCACTCCTTGCTCCTTGGGGTGTTTTGCCCTTAAAACTCTTTGTTGAGCACTGGTTCAGTGAATGCACCAAACAAGTACAAGTACATCTTCTTCCCAAAACTGCTTTGACAATTTGGTCTATCAACTATTATCAAATTAATATCGGCGATAAATTTACAAATTATATATTTCACACCTCTCATTAACACTTTCAGAAAAATTAAAAACTGAAATAAAGGGAGTAACAACTATTTGAGAAAAAAAAAAAACACACTCTGATTATTGAATATAGATTACAATTCTAGTTGTTGAATAGAGATCCCAAATCAAAGATATCTGCTACATATGTAAATGGTGAAAAACATGCTAGCTAAAAATTAATTTAAAAAAAAGCTGTAAAGTCAATCGTCCACTATCTGACCAATTTGTAATTATTGGTATTTATTTTGGTTTGGACTTACAACACACAAATCAACATTCAATAAAACCCTTACTGATTGAGGGTTTCCTTTACTATAAACTTCTTAACTTTCTTAAATAGAAATATCAAAGCATGAGAAAATCCCGCATACAAGGGAAGCTGCATACCAAATACAGACACAGGAAGAAACGCAGCAACGTAAACTTGAGACCATGTCAATTTCTCGTTGAGATGAATCAAGAGCACAACTGTAGCAGTGAACGCAAGCATGGCCGTCACTAGCGAGAAGAAAAGAAAGGCAAATCCTAAATGCAGCCTGAGCGGAAGAGAATGATGGAAGTTTTTGTACTCAAATGGAGATGTCAAGATCGAGAGAAACGTGACGAGAGAAGACAATGAGCTGATGAGCGAGACAACGCCTGTGATGATAAAGGTACTGAACAAAGGAGAATGTCGGAGAACAGGAACACCGCCTGAATTGTAACCCCCGGGAGCAGTGTAGGCGGCTGCAAAGACCACAGTGGCCACTAGAGCTGCCACGGTCGAGCATGACTGAGCAGTGTCCTTTATCCATGTTTGTGCCGAATGAACTAGGTTTTCATGCTCACTATTGAAGAGCTCCTCTGCTGTCACACCCTTGTTGTTGCGGTGCATGCTATAATGAGGTGGCGTTATCTTTCCCACGCGCTACCGACAAAATGGTAAAACTATTAATGTATGAATTAACCATTTCAATTCTTAGTCTATTTTGTTTCCAATATGAACGAAAAAAGGCACCAAAATGGTTTCCTTTTTGAAATTTTAATTTTTTTTAAGAGAAGACCCATTAGATTTTAGATGCCTCATATTAATATTCAATTAATTATTTGCAACAAAATTATGCAATGTCCCGTAATTTTGGTAATTCAGATTAAACTATGTATGCCCAAGATGAATAATAGTTAATTTAAAATGAGAGAATGTTTAAGTAGTGCAGTGTCCTCCCACCTCTTTCCCCAAGTTTGAATTTCTCTTTCTGTAGTGTAATATATTGATGAAGTTAATGTAAAAATATCACTTGTATTAAAAAAATGTGAGAGAGAACATAATTGAGGCCAGAATCACTCACCACCATCCAACGTAATTCTTCTTGCAATTGCAACGCAGGACCACTTACACGTTGAGTGTCAGGAGAGTAATTTGCCATATCTGCAGCTCGATGCAATATGGTATTTCCATCACTGTCAATCCTCGAAGTTAACCTCCAAGTTATCGCTCTGCTTCTCTTCACAAGCCTAAATATCTGCAACTGACGATGCTTAATCGACATATGCAAAATGTTTTGTTGACTGCCGATATCGTGCGCCTCAATCGCCAGAGGATGTACCTCATATATCCTTTTCACAAGAGGTAATATTCCGGTGCTAGTTGCTATAAGCAGTGGGGTGTAGTTATAAATAGTAGATTTTTTTGTTTCTCTTCCATCACCACAAATAGCAGCAATATCTTTCTGTGAGGACACCAAGGAAATTGTCTTGTCTTTCTTTGGTTTCTTACTTTCTACCCACGAATAGTCTTTCTCCACGAGCAGCTGAGTGAGCTCCGACAGTGTTTTTTCATTTTTTATTTGCTTCAAGATCGAAAAGACTCGAGGCCATCCTGTGTATGATTGATTAGGCATATATATAGGAATTAAAATTATAGTTAACTTTGTTTTACCATGACGCATGCATAGTGATTTTTTTTTCCTGTTTTCCGGATTTTTCCTGCGTTTGAGATTTTTATGATTAAGGTTGTATCGGGACCCCATCAGGTTCCATATTTTAAGGCTTAAGTACTGAAAAGAACTTTAAAATAATTTTGGGAAATGATCAGATTTTTGTATCATATTTGTATATCATTTAATGTGGCAAGTAATGTGTAAATGTTACGTTAATTAATGAATTTCTCTCATTAGATATTAATTATATGCATTACTTGTCAAATAAGATGGTACTCCAATAATGTTTTTTCTTTAACTTCTTTCCTTATCCTATGGTTCTGCATCTCTTCTTATCCTTCCTCTGCTATTCTATTTCCCACATTTCTGTGCAGGTCTCCTCTATTTCTAATGCAATGAAAACTAAAGTTGAAGATGAAATGATTATTAAAGAGGCTAGTAACAGTTTCACTTTGTAACAAGAGCTCCAATGTGTTCCTTGCTAAAATTTAGCGATAGTTACAAAATTCATCTTCAATTACCAATCATGCTCCTAAGATAGCAAATCCTCCAGTAACTCTTAAATATGGAAAGGGAAAAAGAAGCTCCTAATGACTAGTAACGTTAACTACTACTATGTTCTTAATATTTGAAATAAAAATTACATTTCTATTGGTTCATAGTCTTTTGAAGCAATTTTTTTATTTTATTTTATTTATAAATACGGAGTATGATTGGAGAGGTATGAACACATATGTTCTGTTACAATATGAGCTATAAGTGTAGATATATATTGGTCAGCCATTTGAGTTCAAATTGGTTGGATGTACTAGTCTAATTAGGTTTGGATGTCCTAGTTAATAAAGAATTGAAACTAGGAATTTGATCCTAAATTACTCACTTATATTAAATATGGGAGACAATCTTGGTTTCCTACCAAGATTCTGAGGAGAATTGTAGGGATATATTGTTTGTCAATATAAATTGTAGTCACTTCTCTCACAAAAAAAAAAAAAAAAATGCTCATTATAAATTGTAGGGACTTGTTTGGTTTTTATCTAGCAAGGAGAAAAAGCTTACTATTGAAGTTGATTATAACTTCATCTTCTTTGATTTGTAAAGGTCAGATTTATTCTTACAATTCTTACATGTTGATCATTTAGTCTATATAATTCAGAATTGAACAAAACATAAAGTTCACAGGAGCAAAACAACAAAAGACAATAATAAATACGTCGATTTCTATATTCGAGGTTTGAGTTTTATTTACTTGTGAGCTTCTTCGACAAGCAAGATGTGGGAAGCTGTGGAATCCATCTGCTCTCTATATCACCGTTTTGATTTGGTGCGGTCCCCATCAACACTATCATCTTCAGAGAGGCCTGAATATATATAGTTAAGATGAAAAGGGAAGCACTGTAAATTCTTCTCTTGCACTCCGTTAGTAGGAGTAAAACAAGTATTTTCACTAGAGTACAGGTAATTAGTATAGTTATTTAAAAGAGATTAGAAAGAAAGGGAGCTTTTATTTTTTATTTTTTATAATTATTGTTAGTTACCATACACATTATTGTGTTTAATGTAAGCGTATAGATACGTACATTTATGAATAAGCATCTTCCATAAGCTTTCGCGATTGTAGACTTGGAAGGCAGATGGCATCTGGGCTAGCAATTGAAGGCTTGTGAAACCATCGTCTTCCCTTGTTTTTGCAAGAAATGGGTACTTTTTCAGTAGCCAAACAGCAGTGTCTGCATTATTTATGAAAAGTGGAAACACAAAAGTCAAACACTTGCTCAAACTCTAAATAACATACGCCTTGAAGGAGCCCCACCAATATAAACAAGCCCTAACTATATTATATATTAATTATTGTCTAACTTTGATGAATAATGCTATTTTGAATGATGGGGAGGAGAGAGAGAGAGAGACCAAAATGTTGGTTAATGACAGCGATATGAAGAACGGACATGCGATCAACAGATCTGGTGAAGTGGCGCTCTGTATTCACATATTGTTTGTGGAAAAAGTCGATCAATTTTGTGTGACCGTAAGAAGCTGCCCTGTAGATGGGCGTTTCTCCTAGCTTGTTCTCAATCTCCACAATACTTCTAGACCTAGCATCAATAACATCCCGCTCGTACTCATTGGTTTGATCAACATCCTGTCTAGCAATTAGCTCACTCCTAACGCTGTTATCGTGGCTTACCAACAGCATTGCCGCTTTTAGGTTTCCCGACGCCACCACCTCATGGAGGATGGTGTTCCCGTGGCCATTCTCCAGCACCAAGGCATGCCGTAACTTTCTAGGGTCATTGGTCGCAGTTGTCACAAGTGAAATCAAGAACTCGAGCACGTCGCTCCGCCCGGCATAGGCTACGACGTGAAGTACAGTGTCGTCGTTCGTTGTCAATGGAATGAAAACCTCTTCCCAGTTTCTCTTATAGTATTGTTTCAGGGGTTCCCAGTTGTCGTGCATGGCCCATTTATATGGCCTTTTTGATCGACTCAGGGCCTCTCCCGCTCTTTCTATTTTCTCATCTTCTTCTCTCTCTTCTCCAACCTCTCTTTCTTTCTCTATTCCATATTTCTATTTTCACATAGGTACGTTGCTTAATCAAGAAACAAAGTTAAAGAATAACTACAAAGTTCTCTAAGAGAATTATATATGCAATTTGCATCATAGAATTAGATGCTTTCAAATTATGTAATGTCAAAAGCTGAAAAAAGAGAGTTTTGTAAAGATCGAAAGCTACCAGCTGTCTTCCTCTAAAGTGTGTTAGCATCGATCCTCATAGCACTTCCAGCGTGATATGAAAAAAGAGAGTTTTGAAAAGATCGAAAGCTACCAGCTGTCTTCCTCTAAAGTGTGTTAGCATCGATCCTCATAGCACTTCCAGCGTGATACTACGTAATTTGTGATAAAGTGATTTAAGCATTGATCCTCATAGCACTTCCAGCCTAGTGGATTAAATCCCCTCTCCCCACCAAAATCTCCTCCAGCCCTCCAGTAGCCCAGTTAGTGCCCTAGGCCAGAATTGCCTAGCCTAGCTCATAAATTATGTGAAGTAACGATGACGTCAGTCACTATTAAAAAATTATAAAAATTAATTAAAATACAAAAAAATTATAAACAAGTTAATTAAAAATACAAAAAAATATAAAAAAATTATAATTTTTTTTTTGGCAAATACTTAACCACGTTATTCCACCTTATACCACATTTTAATATTTTCAATTACTTTCAATCAATCTTTTATTATTATCCAAACTTAAAAATAAAATAAAAATATTTTAATACGAATTGCCTAGAGTATTTAATTTAGAGGTGTAGATGCACTTGGATAATTATTATTCATTAAAGGTAGTTACTATTCGCTTAGGGGATTAAATTGCCACCAACGGGGTCTAACAACACTAGAACTACTCCCATTGATTCTTTTTCTTTTAATTCTTGTTTTTTCTGGTGACTCCTATTATTTTTTAGGGGCGAATCAATTTGGATGGCCTTTAAAACAATTGGATGTTAAAAATGCATTTTTGCATGGTGATCTGGAAAAAGATGTATATATGAAGCAATCTCAAGGGTTTATTGATCCAAAGCATCCAAGTTATGTCTGCAAATTGGTTAAGTCCTTGTATGGTCTTAAACAAACTCCAAGAACTTGGAATTCTATGTTCACTAGTTATCTGCCATCTCTAGGATTCAAAGCTTCTCTCTCTCAGATACAAGTTTGTTTATAAGAACTGATAACAGGATGTGATTATACTCCTATTCTATGTGGATAACATTATCTTAATTGGTTCAAGTGAGTAAAAAATTCAACAAGTGGTACATGATCTTGCAGAAGTATTTGATTTGAAAGATATGGGTAGACTAACTTCCTTGGTTTGCAAATACAGTATCAAGAAGATGGTTCTTTGTTTGTTAATCAGTCTAAGTATGCAAAGGACTTGTTGCATAAAGCTGGTATAGATCATTGCAAACACACATCCACACCTTCCAAACCACATACTCAGCTACATACTACAGAAAGAGTGCCTATGACTGATCCTACTCAATACAGAAGCATAGTAGGTGCATTGCAATACTTGACCTTTACAAGGCTTGACATAGCTCATTCTGTCAATTTGGTGTGCCAGTATATGACAAATCCCACTGAGATGCATTTTCACTTGGTAAAATGAATTTTGAGGTATTTACAAGGCATAATTACATGTGGTTTGAGATACACAAAATCCACAGACTTTTCTATAAATGCATACTCAAATTCTAACTGGGCTGCAGATATCAACTCAAGGAGATCTACCACATGCTATGTTATCTTTCTAGGAAACAATCCAATATCATGGCAATCTAAGAAACAATCCATAGTATCTCGAAGTTCTACAGAAGCATAATACAAAGCACTAGCTCATTGTGTTGCTGATGTGTTTTGGATTCGGTCTATTCTCAAAGATACTCATCAGGTGCTATTGTCTCCTCCTTGTCTACACTGTGATAACTTGTTTGCATTGGCAATCTGTTCGAATCCAGTGTTTCATTCAAAGATAAAACACTTGGATACTTATTATCATTTTGTTCGAGAAAAGGTTCAAAAGAAAGATATTATAGTTCAATATATTCCCACTGAGGATTAGGTTGTTGATATTCTAACAAACGGTTTACACAGTCCAGTGTTTATCAAACATTGTCACAACCTGGCATTAGGAGCTTCAAGCACTGCTACATCACTTGGACGTTCTGTTTCAACAACAAGACTCATTGATGATCCAGAATCCTTAAATCATGAGAATGGTCAGTCATCAACTCTATAAGCAATCTCAACTTCTTGATCATTCACTGAGGTTGAGAGGGGAGTAATAGTTGACACTTGTCAAATATAGAGTGGATGAGCTAGTTGTAAGGTTATTTGGAATTGTGGTGAAAAGAATAGGCAGTTAAAGGGTACTTTTGTAATAGTGTAAAAGGCTGAAATACTATATAATCCAAAGTGTAATACTTTAGAGATCATTCTTTGTAAGCAAAATACGATTGAAAGAAATCATTTACTCTCTCTCTCTCTCTCTCTCTTCGTTCTTTTCTTAGTTTCATAGTCGCCACCCTTGTTCATCATACTTTGCAAAGGTTTAATATCTTTCTCTTTCTCTTCCACCTCTCTTCCATCTCTCTCTTGAAGGAAAATACAATTGAAAGAAATCATTTACCTTCTCTCTCTCTCTCTCTCTCTCTCTCTTCGTTCTTCTCTTAGTTTCATAGTCGCCACCTTTGTTCATCATACTTCGTAGAGGTTTAATATCTTTCTCTCTCTCTTCCACCTCTCTTCCATCTCTCTCTCGTACAATTTACACAATGGTATTGTATGTGACTCATTTGCTTCATTTTATAGTCCATATTATGGCCCTTTTTTTTCTATACAGTATTCACCATCAGGCTAGCTAGATGGTAAGCAGCATATAGTACGTTGCTTAATCAAGAAACAAAGTTAAAGAATAACTGCAAAGTTCTCTAAGAGAATTATATATGCAATTTACATCAAAGAATTAGATGCATTCAAATTATATAATGTCAAAAGCTGAAAAAAAAGAAAAAAGAAAAAAAAAAGAGTTTTGAAAAGATCCAAAGCTACTAGCTATGTTCTTCCCAGCCTTGTGGTAAAGTGTGTTAGCATTGATCCTCATCATTTCCTTTTCTTTTAATTCTTGCTTTTTCCGGTGACTTCTATTATTTTTAGGGTCGGATGATATTCTAGCCTTTAGTGTTGGTCACTAAAGATTTTTTAGTGTATTGAGAATATGACTTAACAAACCAAATACAAGAGCATCTCCAACCAATACTTCAAATTTCCAAATGTAATGGTAAAAAATGGCATCTCATTTCATTCCAACCTATTACCCAAAAGTTGATGTGGATTGAAGGCTTGGTGGGAGGCGTCAAAAACAAAGTTCTAAAAAATGCTAGGCGCTAGTTGGGCGGAAGATTGGGGCATAGGCAGATTTAGATAAATTTATTATACATTGTACACATAAGTGTCATTTTACATATAAAAAAGCTTACAAATTACCAAAAAAATAAACAAATAAAAAAAAGCCCCAAAAAGACACGACCCAATATATCTAGTTGATAAAATTAGCACAGAACTCAAAAAGACCTTGTATGTTTAGATATTTACAAAGAAAACCCTAACAAAAAGATGATAAAAGATTTGACAACCAACTCCTTGATATTTTGCTTAATTTATTATATTTTCATCCAATAATGCAGTGTTATTTATTAAACAAATAATTTTCTTTATTCATTTTTGACACCCAAACCCAATTTCTCTGCATCTTCTTTTTCTTTATGCTGTCAATTCCAAAGTCTCCATCCCTTATCTTGGCTTCTCCCTTGGTTTAAACAAGCCTTACCTAGCTACCCTTTCCCTGGGGTGTCATCTTGTCATCAACCAAATAAGCCTTCATCTTCATCAAACGTAGATCCTGACCAACCCAACCCAAAAATCAATTGAATTGTGTGGGTCAGTGTAGTGGTGATCCCCGATGGCGATGGTTTCAAGAAGTTCCAGACGGCTCTCTCTCTCTTCTTTCAACAACAAAATTGCAGATCTCTCTCTCCTTCTTCAATAGATATCTCTCTTGTCTTTAGTAAAGAGTTTTATTATTATTATTATTTTTTTTGCTACAAAACTAAGAGGCCGCCCAGACACTGATTAATAGCCTTTTCAATTTTTTGAACGATTTCATAATAATCGCTGCAAAGGTCCGCCATCCAGCGCCTAGACGCCACCTAAGTGGCCGCCTAGTCCGATTTTTAGAACACTGGTCAAAACTGCCACCTCAAAATGAAGGTTCTAAAAAACACTAAACTCTAGTCGGGCGGCGGGTAAGGGCCTAGAGCCTAGGCGACTAGGCGGCCTAGGCATATTTATATAAATTTATTATATATCATGTAAATAAGTGCCTATTTACACTTAATTAAAAAAACTATACTTGTATGCACTGGTGAAGCTACAGAGGGACAAGGAGGGGCGGCCGCCATCCCCTCGCCCGAAGTGAAGCCCAGGAGCCACGGTCCGCCCCTCTGCTCCCGTCGGAAAACCTGTAAGTCGTGATTCGTGAAGCCCTTTCCTAATCGGAAAGCACATTAGGCGAGACTAGGAGGGATGGATTAAGCAGAGCTATTTAAGTCTGGGCGGGGCTGGGTGGGGTTAGGTGGGCGTATACGAAGAAGCCGGAAGTTGAAAGTTCTTTTGCACAGTCAGTCGTGCCCGAGGAAAACGATGAGGTCTTAACAACCATTTTAATTCCATGGTTTATTTAAGATGGTCCCATCATTTTCTTAATCACTGCACATTTCTTTTAAATAGTCCCCCATCTTCTATTTATTACTTTTTATATCCCTTTATTTTTCTCTTTCTTAACCTAAATATCATTTTCCCCTCTCTTTAACCCAATATCACTTTTTATTTCTTTTAAGATCACCATATATTTTGTACCTACAACTCTCACCTTTTTTAAAAATAACGTTTTAGTTGATGTTTAAATATAATTTTGTTAAAAAAGTGTTTAAATTTAATTAATTTATATAATATATTATAAATTTACTTAAATCTGTCTAATCTGCTTAGATCCTGCCTACGCACAATATCCTAACCCGCCGCCCGATTAGCGCTAGCATCTTTTAGAATCTTGTTTTACAATCCCTCTTTCTAATTCTTTGCCTTATGTGTGCCCAGATTGGCTGTAGTCTACAACATTCAATCAACCAATAGCAGCCTTATAGCTGTTTTCCGTTCCATTCCAAGTGAAAGCCAACATAATCGATTTGATACTTATGAGTGGTTGGAGTAAAATATAGCAAGAGATGCTCCATTTTGCCGTTATTGCTATATTTTCAAATGAAAACGGGAGATGCTGGCAGTGATGTCTTCACTGAAAAGGGTTTTTAATGTAACTTGTTTGTATTGATAAATTATGGAAGCTATTACTATATAAACAGACTTGGTTGTTTCTCTTTTTTTGAACTTTGTACTCTTTTGAATTTGCCCCTCCCCCTGCTAATTTCTGGCTTCGCCATTACTTGTATGGATAATAGAAGAATGATAAAATGTAAAAATAGAAGTAGAAGCATACACAAAGTACATCCACCAAACAAGTTCAATATTTAAAAAATAGTAAGCATATAATCATAATGAGAATTATTCTTGGATGGTAGACTAAATTCTTCTTGTTCATGATCCTTGCATTGGATTGGACATAGATTAAATAATTTAACGTTGTTGTATCTAGTTTATTTTTTATTTTTTTTAATGTATCCCCTCAAAAGTTCTCCAATTCATTTCACAATTGGATGAACTTGTAGTCAATCCATCCTTTGTAAATTAGGTACACCATTTCCATAAGCATACCACCATGAAACTAAAAAATAAAAAAGCACACAATTAATTAAAAATTATATATATATATATATGTGTGTGTGTGTGTGTGTGTGTGTGATTCTATTAAGTGAAAAAAATAATAAAACATTATCCCAATAAATTTATATAAATATATTACACACACACACACACACATATATATATAATGTATATATTCCAAGCTGTTTGAAATGATAAAAACCCCACATAGACATAGTGGGTGGTTTATTAATGATTAAAAACCAAATAATATCCCATCTGTGTTTCTGACCCCTCCACCCCACCTCTGTCATGCCACCTAAGATTTCCAAAGCCCATATCATTATCACACTTTGACCTGTTGGAAAGCGGAACACTCTTCCCATTTGAGTTTTTCCGTTTCTTCTTCTTCTTCCTTCAGTCATCAGAATGTCGAACTAGATCTCAAATCCAGATCGTGCTGGTGTGGATTGATACCTTAAAAGTTAAGAGTTTTTCTCTTTTTGCATTCTCTCTTTCCTCTTCTACTCACGAATGGTGAGCTGCAGAATTTCAATCGAGGCTCCACTTTGAGATTGGGCGTTGCAGATCCTACGTAAGAGTTGCAGAGCCAACTAGACAGTCGCTTAGAACTGCCCAGACCGCCTAGAGCGCCTAGGTGGCCGCCTAAATCTTCCCCGCCGTACATGAACATTTTGGACTAAATCGGGTCAAGGTTCCTCCATCAAGCACCTAGATCGATTTTTAGAACACTGCTTAAAATGCATATGCCAAATAATTATTTTAGTTTTTGGACTAGCCTTGCATTAAATGCTTGGTATAAGTGTAGCTATTTATATTTCTTTTAGTATTTACTAGCAGATGAGCACACATCTTGTGTGTGTGAACAATTTCATTTTAGTTTTTGTTATTGATTAAGGAGTGTGATTAATTTTTAAAATTTTGAAAAGAGTATGGAATAATAATGATGAGACAATTTCTCTTAATAAATGCATATTTTTTCTTTATAATTAAAGCCTCTTCAACCACCCACCTCCTCCCACGTTCTCCTCAAGCACAACCACTTAAGTTCATTCAAACTATCCAAAAAACATCATGTTTTCACGTACCTGTATGAAAAATGGTTGGACAATTTCTTTTAATAAGTGCATATTTTTTATCTTATGTAAATATTGTGTATCAAAAGTGAGGGTAAAATAGGAAAAATAGGGATATGATTGTCATTTTCTTAAAAGATACAAAAGTACTATTTTGCCCTCATTATGTAAATATTGTGCATCAAAAGTAAGGGTAAAATAGGAAAAAAGGGAAAAAAGTTCAAAAGATACAAAATTACTATTTTGACCTCTTTATGTAAATATTGTGTTTCAAAACTAAAGGCAAAATAAGAAAAAAAGGGCAAAAAGTTGGCAATGAGGATTTTCTTAATAATAGTATAGATTATAAAAATTAATATCTTAAAATACAAAATAATATATTAGACACATCGGTTGGCGATGCAATTTTAACATGATGTCAAATTGGCACGTAGATCATCAAATTAAAATATGGTGTTCAATATTTGACGTCTTTTTTTTAGATGCTTTAATAATACAACTGGTTAAAAACTTTAAAAGAAAATTCTAACCAATTGTATTATGATACCTAATATACTGGACTGTGTTTTCTACACACTATCTCGATATCCACAACCTTTTAACCCCCGTCTATAGATAATTTGATGTAAACCCAAATCGCTTATTTTTCTTTTAAACACCCTCATCTTATAGGCGAAAAACAACTCCTCTATTAAAAATGTGTGATCCTTCTACACATATTCGTCTATAGTTCTCTCTAATTACAAAAGTGAGAAATAAAAAGTAGAAACAGAATGATAATAGCATAGAGCTTTTCCAATATTGAGTATAATTCTCTTAACTAGGGTCGACATGTGCATACCCATATAGCTCTCACCAAACACACACTTTTCGCCGTTGTCATCAAACTTCCTTCATTTGGATTCTGTTATGCTTGTAAATTCGTTATTATATATATAATAATAATTCTCCTTGTTTACATCTTTGTTTTACTTTTCTATATAGGTTTTACATTATATTTGTGTTTTGTAGGTTGTAACGAGCAAAAAGTACAAAAGGAGCTAAAAAAGGCTTTTACAATCCTATGTCATCAGCATAGCCTCTGCAAATCAGTCGAGTTCGTGGATTAAACTGTATTGACTCGGGAAGAACCAGGAGATGTGCCATATATGTTTGGAAAGCTACGATGTCTATTTTCTGTGGAATTTTACGGTTCTTGAATTTCATTTTTCTTGAGAGAGTTATGGAAGTTTTAGTACATGCAGGTTGGGCTACGCGCGAATATGAAATTTTCTAAAACATGTATCAATGTGGCATATTAAATGAAGATTAAAATTCCTACTTATTAGGAGTTTTAACCAGTTGAAGAAAGCCAAAAAGTCTGAGAGAAAGTGTGACATCCCGTCCCGAGATTATAAAAACGTACGTGTGAATTTACGATTTTACCCCCTAGTTCGTTACTTTACGTGTAGTTTTGTGTTGTGTGGTGTTGTAGGACCACACACACTCATACACTCTCTTTCTCTCCCGGGATTCCCTCACTCTCTGTCTCTTCTCTGTCTCTTTCCTCTCTCTCTCCCCGAGCTCCCTTCTTCCTCTTTCTTCTTCCTTCAACATACGGACTACACACAAACATACTCAAACCATCACTCTCCGAGGAAACCAACTACACCATTGAACTCGTGAAGCTCGTACGAGTGCAACCATACCATTTTCAGGTGAGAAATTCTTCGTTTTCATGTCGATTCGAGGTAGTCCGATTTAGGTACTATTCATGAAAACTTAAACTAGCGTGTTTTTGAGATTTTTAAGCTTGTAGATGTCTTAGTGAGGTCCCAAGGAACCTCGGAATACTTCGTTGGAGAAGTTTGGACGTCGGGATCATTGTGGTCAAAGTTGGCCGGAGCTTTCGAGGCTTTTTCCGGCGAATACACGGCGAGTTAGAGGTCGCGGCAGGTATGGATGTGTTCGTCTCGTCAATACCTTCAATTTGATATATTATACGTCGAAAATGGTTAAGAAATGAAGAAGTTATGACACTTTAAAGTTTACCCAGAAATTCCGGCAAAAACCCACCGCCAGCGAAACCAGTCCGGCGACGCGAGGAAGAAGACGCGCGCGTGGGCAGCGCGTGAACAGGGCGCGTGGGGGCGCGTGAGACCTCTAAATTGAGTTCTGAAAATTGTCACGCGTTCGTGACGTCGTGTAGATCACCGTGGTATATTCACACACCCAAATCGAGCAACGTATGAGAAAGTTATTGACGAATGTTTGGTGTATGCGCGTTAAATAACGATAATTTGGTTACTTTTTGTATAGGTGAAAATTATACAGAAGAAGAATGTAACCAATCTAGGGGAGGCTCAGGGACCCATGAGACGTCGATGTGATCAGTGAGTGGGCAGTTATTTTTCAGTATATATATATATATACGTATGCTTGACGTATTTACCATAAAACGTATTTTAAAAGAAATACGAATTAAATATCTTGTCATACATGCATCATATTTTAATATGTGCATTACCATAATTATGCATACTGTTGCATGGTGCTGAGGAGGCCCAGGTAAGCTACATTTGATATACATCTGATATACGTATGAAATACGTTTGGAATACGATTGAATTACGATGGAAATACATATATACCTATATACGTTTATATTTCCAGAAATTGGTTAGAAAAGGTTATTTGTTTCATGCCATGCACCATATGGTTGTCGTTTATGCATCATCACATGTATTAGTAGTGGCATACATATATATATATATGCGTATTGGGTGCTGTGGATGCACAGGTAAGTGCCAGGTAAGGTTATTCGTATTTACATTCAGCAGTAGTTGGAGATGCTTAGCGAGCTCATAACCTGATTCCCCGGTGTTAGTGCTCGCCTTGAGCAGGGCCAGCCTTCACGTGATGTTCACCTCCCCTGCACCTTATGCTCAGCTTGGATCCAAGCTAGGTGCGTAGCCTGTCGTACAGACCACATGAGGTGGTTCCGACTCGTAGGTGACGTGCGATTATTCGCCCAGCTTCACGTGATCGTAGCACTAGAGCGTATTTATACGCAACACCCAGTCCTGTCGTACAGACCACATTAGGTGGTTCCGACTCGTGGGCAGGTTCAGTTGTTTAGTTATTGAGATTGAGATTTGAGCTCTAGATTCAGCCGTACAGGTCACTTTAGGTGACTCCCGGCTGCCAGTAACATGTTATTGATATGAGTTATACCTGAGCACTTGCACATCATTATGAGGCTTTGATTGGCATACCTTGAGCTTGATTGACATATCTATACATACGTATATATGTTTATTTTCTGGGAAAGTATACATGTTTTACGGAGAGGGGTTACAAAGTTTTGAGAAGTATTTGGACTTGGAAAAGATTTGTTTTACTGACCCACTCAATTTTGGTTTTGCGCCCCTCCAGGTTCAAGTATTGCAAAGGTGTGGTGACTACGAGGAAATTCAACGGTGTTCTGATAGAATGGACCAAATGAGGACTCACCTTCGGGTGGTTTATCTTAGAAGTTGTATATTTTAAAGCTTCCGAACTGTGTAAATGGTTACGTCACTCTCACGTGACGGCCAGCATGCCCTCCTTCGGGACGGGGTGTGTCAGAAAGTATATTAAAAGTCTTTAATATAATGAGACTTTAAAAGCTCATTAAGCTTGATAAGGAAAAGAAGGCTAATTGCCTTGTCGGTTACAACTAGAAGGGGAATGAAGGAGGATCCCTAATCAGACCAGCAGAGGGGCCGTGAGATATAAAAAAGCAAAAAAAAAAAAAAAAACAAAAGCAAAAGAAGAAGATAGGCAGCAGCAGCCACCAAAACAAAGAAAGAACAACCCACGTCAGAAGGGAGAAAAAGGAAGGACCAAAGCATCGTTCTGCAATTCGTCATCGAAGAGTTTCTTCTTCTCCTTTTAATTTTTGTTTTGTTTGTCTTTTCTGCCCATTTATATTATGAGTAACTAAATTTCATAGTTGGGACTTGGTTGAAGTCCTAATCGTGTTTCCTTGAGTATTTTCGATACACTTTTGTTACAAGACAATTTGTTGATGCTTTAGTGATTAATTCCAATTTTAATTCCAATCTTATTGAGTTATTTTATGAATGATCACCATAGAATAGCTCTGTAATTGAGTTTGTTACATGGGTAAATTTGGATGATCGAGTCTTGTACCTATGCCGAGTAACAAGAGAACTAGTTATAGTTCTTGGAATTAATTATCATGAATAACCGGAATAGATACCATGTTCTAGGACTTGTGTTTGTCGATTTCCATTGTATTATGCTTTCTCCGATTGCAACTTAGTAGATACCATGCTAAATACTTCGAGAATGAAAAGAGTTAGTGAAGACACCCATGCCTAATTCGTTAAGGAAATCAATAGCTTAAAGAGTAGATACCATGCCTTTAGGTTGACAAACGTAAAACATCAAAAATCTATTTTGTATCATAGTGTGTGTCGGTTGGTTAGGCGAAAAAGGTTAGAGATGGAAGTCAAAGTCCTAACTATTCAAACATCGTTTTCAAAACCCTTATTGCCAATTACTTTTATTTGCCTACATTCTTTATGTGTGTTTTTATACTTAAACTTAAGACATCTCAAACTATTTTGTTAAACCTTTACTTGCATAGTTGCTAGTTTTGTGAATTAATTAATTTAAATTGTTAGGAATCATACTCTAGATACATATTAGTGCAATTCTTCTGGGAATGATCTCGTACTTGCTTTCTATACTATGTGTTTGATCTTGTGCACTTGCGAGTTTAAAACGTGCAATTAGTAGCTTAATATTTAGGTTGCTAAATGCATAACAGCTTCAAGAACTTGAGCATGCTCTTGACACTCTTAGAACAATTTCGTTTTCACCTTTTTAAAAACTGAAAGTTGAAATCTTATTTGATAACTAGTTTTAGTTTCCAAAAAATAAAGCCATTTGATAACCATTTCGTTTTCAGTTTTTTTTTCCTTCACTTTTTTAAAAACTGAAATCTTATTTGATAACTATTTTCAGTTTTCAACAAAATGAAAACTGAAAACTACTTTCTTCATTTTTTAAAATTTGGCCTTGAGTTTTTATTTTTTGATTTTCAGTTTTCATTTTTTTGGAAACTAAAAGTAGTTACAAGAACCAAAACTACCTTCTTGATTTTTCAAAAATGAAAACTGAAAACTACTTTCATGATTTTTCAAAAAAGTGAAAACTGAAAATAGTTACCAAACAAGAACCAAAACTACTTTCTTGATTTTTCAAAAAAATGAAAACCGAAAACCAAAACCAAAAACCAAAAACTAAATGATTATCTCCCTTAGATGTGCAACATTGGTTTTTATCCGCTCCGTGCTCATTGGGGTGTCTTGCTCTTTAACAGCCTTTGATGAGCACTGGCTCAGAGAACAATTTTGGTCTATCAACTATTATCAAATTAATATAGGGTGATAAATTTGCCACTTAGTATTACGGTCTAATAGTATTCCTCTTCATTTGTACGCGAGAGGTATTAGACTCAATTCTCGTCAAAGGTGAATTTGAACCATATTCTTGCTAGCCATTGTGAGATTTAGCCTATTTTTCCACCCCTTAGTGTAGATTGTTTGTTAAAAAAAATATGGGTGATAAGTTTACAAGCTATATATTTCACATCTCTCATTAACACTCTCAGAAAATTGAACAATGAAATAAGGGGAGTAACAACTATTTGAGAAAACAACACACACTGATTATTGAATAGAGATTACAATTCTAGTTGTTGAATACATTTCAATAAATAAATAAATAATAGCTCCCAAAATGAAAGATATCTGCTACATAGATATGTAAATGGTAAAAAACATGCTTAGCTAAAAATATTAAAAAAAGCTGTGAAGTCAATCGTCCATTATCTCACCAATTTGTAATTATTGGTATTTATTTTGGTTTGGACTTACAACACACAAATCAACATTCAATAATACCCTTACTGATTGAGGATTTCCTTTACAGGGAAAACGAAATTATAAACTTCTTAACTTTCTTAAATAGAAACATCAAAGCATGAGAAAATCCCGCATACAAAGGAAGCTGTATGAGCCCAAATACAGACACAGGAAGAAAGGCGGCAACATAGAGGAGAGACGTTGTCAATCCCTCATTGAGATGAATCAAGAGCACAGCTGTAGCAGTGAAGGTGAGCATGGTCGTCACTAGCGAGAAGAAAAGAAAGGCAAATCCTAAATGCAGCCTGAGCGGAAGAGATTGATGGAAGTTTTTGAACTCAAACGGAGATGTCAAGATCGAGAGAAACGTGACGAGAGAAGACAACGAGCTGATGAGTGAGACAACGTCTGTGATGATAAAGGTAGTGAAGAAAGGAGAATGACGGAGAACAGGAACACCGCCTGAACTGTAACCCCCGGGAGCAGTGTAGGCGGCTGCAAAGACCACAGTGGCCACTAGAGCTGCCACGGCAGAGCATGACTGAGCAGTGCCTCTTATCCATGTTTGTGCCGACTGAAGAAGCTTTGCATGCTGTCTATTGAAGAGCTCCTCCGCTGTCATACCCATGTTGTTGCGGTGCATGATGTAATGAGCAGGCATTATCTTTCTCACGCGCTACCAACAAATTCGTAAAACTAACCATTAATGTATGAATTAACCATTTCAATTCTTAGTCTGTCATATTTTTGTTTCCAATATGAATAAAAGGAAGGCTCATTATGTTTTTATTTTTAATTTTAATTTTTGATGGAGAGAATATAACTAAGGCCAGAGTCACTCACCACCATCCAACGTAATTCTTCTTGCAATTGCAACGCAGGACCACTTACACTTTGAGTGTCTGGAGAGTAATATGTCATATCTGCAGCTCGATGCAATATGGTATTTCCATCACTGTCAATCCTCGAAGTTAACCTCGACGTTATCGATCTGCTTCTCTTCACAAGCCTAAATATCTGCAACTGACGGTGCTTAATAGACATATGCAAAATGTTTTGTTGATTGTCGATATCGTGCGCCTCAACCGCCTGAGGATGTTCCTCAAACATCTTTTTCACGAGAGGTAATATTCCGGTGCTAGTTGCTATAAGCAGTGGGGTGTAGTTATAAATAGTATATTTTTTTGTTTCTCTTCCATCACCACCAATAGCAGCACTATCTTTCTGTAAGGACACCAACGAAATTGTCTTGTCTTCCTCTGTTTTCTTACTTTCTACCCACGAATAGTCTTTCTGTACGAGCAGATGAGTGAGCTCCGATAGTGATTTTTCCTTTTTTATTTGCTTCACGATCGAAAACACTCGAGGCCATCCTGTGTATGATTGATCATGCATACATAGGATTAAAATTAACAATATAGTTAACTTTGTTTAGAAAAGAGTTATTGGAATTGACTGTCCTAGTTAATAAAGGATTAAAACTAGGAATTGATCCTACATTACTCACTTGTATTAAAAATGGGAGGCAATCTTGGTTTCCTACAAAGATTCTAATAGGAGAATTGCAAGGATATATTGTTTGTCAATATAAATAGTAGTCACTGCTCTCACAGAAAAATACTCTCATTATATTGGACCAAAGACATTGTTTAATTGAGTAGTGTGTATCTAACAGAGAGAAGAAACTTACTATTAAAGTCAATTATAACTTCATCTTCTTTGATTTGTAAAGGTCAGATTATTCTTACATGTTCATCATTTAGTCTATATAATTAAGAATTGAACAAAGCATACAATTCATAGGAGCAAAACAACATAAGACAATAATATGTTACGTTCGATTTATTATATTCGAGGTTTGAGATTTATTTACTTGAGAGCGTCTTCGAAAAGCAAGCCGTGGAAAACTGTGGAATGCATCTGCTCTCTATATCACCGTCCCCATCAACATTATCATCTTCAGAGAGGCCTGAATAATATATGTAATTAAGATAGAAAGGGAAGCAGAAATATGATCTCATCCTAAATTCTATTCTTGCACTCCATTAGCAGGAGTAAAACAACTGTTTTTACAAGAGTACAGGTAATTAGTATTGTTAAAGTGTTGTGAAATTGTTCAATCCGAATATCATGTACATAGTATTACATACTAGCTGCTAGATTAAAGTTCTATGTTATATATGCATGTGGAATGAAGCTACGGAGAACATAAAAAGAGATTAGAGAGAAATGAAATTTTTATTTTTTATGTTTTTAATTATTGTTATTTACTATACACATTATTGTATTTAATGTAAGCGGGGGGACATAATTGGGAGTTTATATCGATGTGGTATACAATTCCTCTTCTCTTAAATAATAGTATAGACACGTACATTTATGAATAAGCATCTTCCATAAGCTTTTGCGATAGTAAACTTGGAAGGCAGATGGCATCTGGGCTAGCAATTGAAGGCTTGTGAAACCATGGTCTTCCCTTCTTTTTGCAAGACATGGGTACTTTTTCAGTAACCAAACAGCAGTTTCTGCATTATATATGAAAAGTGGCAGAAAAGAAGAAAGAATGTTAATCAAACAACTGAATGACTTATTATCGCAATTTAGCTGATTTTTACGAAAGTAAATATTATGATAGCCTCTTGCCACACATCTACCCGTGTGTCAATTGGTTATTTAATATTTTTTTCTTTAATTAAAAAATTGTATTTACATGTTTTTTTAAATATAAATAAAAATAGATACGTCAGAAACTATCCTAATGTGCGTGAGGTAATTTCATTTTGGATTTTACAGTTTTGTCTCTTAGGCCTTCCACAGTGGGCTGGAAAAAGTGAGTGTGATACCACTATATTGGACTCATATAGAATCATACTCATACAATGGACGGGAAAATTTGAGTGTGAGACTAATATATTGAACTCACACTGGTGTCGCCGTAGTGTTATAGATATCAAACTCAAATTGCCTGATTCCTATATTTAGGTATCACGCTCACTTAAACTACTGTTGAATGCCTTATTACTAATTAAATTACATTCTTTGAAAATTTAAAGAGAAGAGAGGCATTTTTCAAAAGTACACAAAAATGACACTTGCGCAAACTTAAATAACATACGCCTTGGAGGAGCCCCCCAAGATAAACAAGCCCAACTATATATATTAATTATTATCTAACTTCGATGAATAATGCTATTTTGAATGTTGAGAGAGAGAGAGAGAGAGAGAGAGAGACCAAAATGTTGGTTAATGACAGCGATATGAAGAACGGACATGCGATCAACGTGTCTGGTTAAGTGGTGCTCTATATTCACATTTTGTGTGTTGAAAAAGTCGACTAACTTTGTGTGACCGTAAGAAGCTGCCCTGTAGAACGGCGTTTCTCCTAACTTGTTCTCAATCTCCACAATACGTCTAGAGCTAGCATCAACATCCGGCTCATACTCATTGTCTTGGTCAGCATCCCGTCTAGCAATTAGCTGTCTCCTTGTCCATTCATCGCGGCTTACCAACAGCCTTGCCGCTTCCAGGTTTCCCGACGCCGCCACCTCGTGGAGGATGGTGTTCCCGTGGCTATTCTCCAGCACCAAGACATTCCGTAATTTCCGAAGGGCGTCGTTGGTCGTAGGTGGCACAAGTGGAATCAAGAATGCAAGCACGTCGTTCCGCCCGGCAAAGGCTGCGACGTGAAGTACAGTGTCTTTGTTCGTTGTCAATGGACTGAATACCTCTTCCCAGTTTCCCTCATAGTGTTGTTTCAGGCTTTCCCAGTTGTCGTACATGGCCCATTGATATGGATCTTTTGTTCGACTCAGTGCCACTCCCTCTCCTTCTATTTTCTCATCTTTTTCTCTCTGTTTCTTCAACCTCTCCTCTCTCTCTTCCATCTCTCTCTCTCTCTCTCTCTCTCTCTCTCTCTCTCTCTCTCTCTCTCTCTCGTACAGTTTACAAAGTGACAGTACTGCATGTAAGTCATTTGCTTCATTGATAGTCCATATTATGGCCTTTTTTATGTACAATCGTCACCATCAGGCTAGCTAGATGGTAAACTGCACATAGGTACGTTGCTTAATCAAGAAACAAAGTTAAAGAACAACTTCAAAGTTCACTACGATTATTAAATATGCAATTTTCATCAAAGAATTAGATGCTTTCAAACTATATAATTTCAGACGTTGCTTAATCAAGAAACAAAGTTAAAGAACACCTTCAAAGTTCACTACGATTATTAAATATGCAATTTTCATCAAAGAATTAGATGCTTTCAAAGTTAAAGAACAACTTCAAAGTTCACTACGATTATTAAATATGCAATTTTCATCAAAGAATTAGATGCTTTCAAACTATATAATTTCAGACGTTGCTTAATCAAGAAACAAAGTTAAAGAACAACTTCAAAGTTCACTACGATTATTAAATATGCAATTTTCATCAAAGAATTAGATGCTTTCAAACTATATAATTTCAGACGTTGCTTAATCAAGAAACAAAGTTAAAGAACAACTTCAAAGTTCACTACGATTATTAAATATGCAATTTTCATCAAAGAATTAGATGCTTTCAAAGTTAAAGAACAACTTCAAAGTTCACTACGATTATTAAATATGCAATTTTCGTCAAAGAATTAGATGCTTTCAAACTATATAATTTCAGACGTTGCTTAATCAAGAAACAAAGTTAAAGAACAACTTCAAAGTTCACTACGATTATTAAATATGCAATTTTCATCAAAGAATTAGATGCTTTCAAACTATATAATTTCAG